TGTGCCATATTTTATTTTATTTTTTTTTATTTTTATTTAAAATGACAGTTAAATTTAAAACGATATTATACAACTGTCTAATTTAATGTTTCGTCTGATTAGCAGTCATATTGTTTGAAAAATTTAGGACAAAATAGAAGTAAAAAAAAAAATGGAAAAAAAAAAATTAAAATTAGAAACAAAAGAGAAAATTACTTTCCATCATCTTCTTACAAAAAGAGATTTTTAGAATTTTTTTTTTTTTTTGGGTATATTTTTGTTTTTATCTTTTATTTTCTTTTTCTACTTTCATTTTGATCTATTTACTTTCCCAACAAACACTTTATCAGACAAAAAAAAAAAATGTTGTGTTCTCGAATATTTTTTAACTGGTCAACAAATCAAAAGGCATACTGACACGTCAGCCTTGGTGGTCCCATGTGGTGCGGTGTAATAAATAAGCCTGCTATTTTTTTTCCCTTTTTTTAAATAAAAATATTTTTTATTTTATTTCATGATTTTCTATTTTCTTTCTCCCCAACTGATGCTTTTTGAAATTGTAGCTAGTTTTGTTTATAATAATAATAATATAATAATAAAATATAATGATTTTGTACCACGGGTAAAAGACTTGAAATGGTCCACACTTTCAGTTAGAAATACATTAAATGTTATTATTATAATATATAAATAAATAAAACATATATGAACACTTGAGATGGTCCACACTTCCAGTTAGAAATACATCACATGTTAAAATATATAAATAAATAAATAAATAAATATGAATTCGTAAAAACCAAAATCAAATAAAAAAAAACCGGGAGAAAATCCTTAAAATGTCTACTAAAATTAAAATTCTAATTATATATAAAAAAAATAACTGACAATTTCATTTATTTATTTGATTTTTTGTCAATAAAATGTTTTCCATCATGTATTTTGCCACAAAATTTAAATAGTTTAAAGGTAAGAATCTGTGGATATATTTTCACGCATTAAAGGGAGAATTGTATGCCAAAGACAGAGAAGCAAATGCACTGTATAAAATCAAAGAACTGAATTCTATACAAGGCAATAAATACCTAACTGCTACTGAATAATCCATATGAAAATCTAGAAGTTACTGCCACGGCAAAATACATAACTAACGTGCGGTCAAAATCAAAAGATCGTAGAGGTCAAAGTCGAAGAAGAAGTGGGCATGCCGAGAATCGGCTGCTCACTTGTTAAAGAACAGGCTTCTCTTCTTCCTCTTCTTTTCACCGGCCTGCACATTGTTCATCGTAAAATTGATAATTTACACTCCAAAAGAGATTTTTTCACTCAATGATCGCTTTGCAGTGGTTTAACTATAATTTCAGCACGTTCTTTAATCACTTATTCACTTGCTAAACAAATTGTAAAAGAATTCATTGCAAGCTATCGATTTAATGCAGTCGTTAATTTTAATGAGTATTGCTTCAGATGCACAAAAATCTAATATGTATTCTGACGGAGCAAAAACCGAGTAAGATTTAATACCTTCAAGATGAATAATCTCAAGGTGAGAACAATTGTATCTCTTGAGCTGCGAAGTCAAAAGAAAAGGATGACACTTAAAAATTTCAGGATGATGTCTTAACCTCAGATCGAAAACTGAGTTGGTATTAAGTATTAACAAAGAATATATTACATCTTACCCACTTATATCTGTCAAGCTACTGTCCACTCTCAAAATGCGTTCAGTACCCAGAGAATCAACTATCGAGAATTCATCAGGACTTCCGTATGGAATAGTGACCTACAAGAAACAGCTTCTACGGTAATTCATTTATTCAAAAAAAAAAAAAAAAAAAGTAAAGTATTTGGGATTTCACCAGCCAAGGATAGAAATACAGTTAGTAACAATCCACGAGATCATTATTATTTTCTACGAAAGCACCTTTTACATTGTAATATTGCCCACAAGCCACTCAAGTGATATCAATTTTCTATCTCCAGTTACTTATCGGAACAACTTTCTAGTTAATAAGCTACGACAATTTTTTTTTTTTTTTGTTTATCATTTTTTCATGGTTATCATCTGCAGTATTTTTCATAATTATAGCAGAACGGAAGGGATGGTGTGAATTTATACATCCCAAGTCCAGTAGATTGCACAAGACATTGCTAAAGATGGTTACTTTCTTGCAGAGCTTCTTTGAGAAGCGCGTGAATTGAAGACATAAGCATGACAACGCAAACTAGATAAAAGATACATACAGTTGTAGATGGCGAAAACTTCTCAGCAACTACAACACCACTAGGCCCGCTACACTTTATGCTGTAACTATCCCTTTTAATTGCCAATACAGCCGGTTCCCATATATCAAGATATCCACTCTTCATGATCAAAGAAGGAAGCAAATACAAAATAAACAGTTAATAAAAAGTTGAGAAATGCTTCAGCAATTAATGCCACGTTGGATGATAGAAACAAAGAAACTATGACCAATCCCCCCCACCCCTACCCTCAAGTATATTAACTGAAAAATACCAACTATTTGCAGATTTACCTAATACCAGCAAAAGGAAGAATGCTTAAGGGGATAGGATATAGGAGACTGCGGGGGAGAAATGTTGTGCACTTGTGCTTTAAAAGTAACATTTTACTTTCATTTAAGTCCATTTTATTTTATATTTATAAACTTTAAATTCAGTAACTCTTGTACTCGATGTTTGTTATTGCTTTCCATTTAAAAACTTGGCACAACACAAAAATGAGGTATGGAAACGTGTATGAACTTCCTCGGTTTTTAGTTGGGAGAAGCTAACTGTGATTCAAAAAAATTTGATGAGTTTTTGAGTCTGCAACAAATCTTGTGGAAGAGGACGAGGTTCGTAATTCCTATTTCCACAAAAGAGAAAAGGAAAGAAACAAACAAACAAATAACAGATTATAGTAAAACAGATCAATAAGCATACCGAAAGAGAGAGCTTGAAAGAAACATGACCAGAGTAAAGAGTCTTCTCTATGCATTTCTGCATTACCGGATCTGTAGAACAGAAGCAAGTATCATCAAATAATTCAGTGATCAGATTTGCATCAACTAACCAGAAACGAATGCTGAGTGAATAATAAACAGAACTGAGACTAGATGGAAAGGTTGAGGCAATATTTCCTAGACACAATTATCCTTTTTGTTTCAGTTTTTCAATTATTAGGACAATTTCCGTTCTTTTTATCCTTACAGGGTGGTGGGTCTCATCTCAGTTTCAACAATAGCACACATTTACTGCAAGTAATTTTTCTATGCTCAATTGGCGAAGAGATCAAAGTATATCAATAACACTTTTGCAAGTTTCTTTTACCGCAAGTAATTTTTCTATGCTCATTGGCGAAGACTTTCACAAGTTCACCCTGAAATAGAAAAAAAGAAAAAGAAAAAAAAAATAGTCAGGACCTGGCAGCAAGCAACTCATTATACAGGGTTTACAGACTCATTTATACCACATTGAGTAAATTAAAAATTTAATCATTTTCCAGCTGACTCTTACACACATAGAATACCTTACGCTTCCTATCATCAAGTGGCTGTACTTCAATGGCAAGATATGTATCAACATCATCTGCAGTTACAAGATAATTTGGTTGCTTCGCTCCTGTAAAATAATAATGTCATATTAAACAAAAGCATAAATAGATGTAATCAAAGTGGAAACCAAAATCAGCAGTTAAATGGATACCTTCAACATAATTAAAAGAGCCATCCTCCAAGTGTCGTACCCACTGCAAACTCAGGAAAAATATAAGCTAAAACAGAAACAGGAAATAACATATGTATAGAAATAAACCACTGTAGATCAGGAAGTAATCCTGTGAATTTATAAAATTGACAGTTGAAGCACCTCAAAATTGCAACTGGTTGTCCCATTGATGGAATATCCACATGCTTGGAGTTGCTGACCAGGAAATGCTTCACCTGAAATTTGGAGACCCTCAATTCCTGGTAGTGGATCATCGTCTGCAGCTGGTAATTGATTGCAAATTTAAATTTTTTGGTTACCAAACCAGACTAAGCAGTTAAAAAAAAAAAAAAAGAGAGAGAGAGAGAGAGAGAGAGAGAGAGAGAGAGATAGTTTAAGTTCAGACCCTCAGAGAAGGAGGACGAAGGTTCCTCAAGAACTGGTGGTAGAAGAGGAGAAAATGAGGACTCGGGATCATCAACAGTAGTTGTTGCTGATGCTTTGGAATTCCAGTTAACAGAAGGTTCTGTATCATTCATGGGTCCTCTGTTGTCAGGTTCATCAATCTCAGTATTCTTAACAAGGTCACCAAATGTGACTTTTTTACTGACTGCACCTTCGTTATTCCGAACATGATGTGGATCAGTCTGGTTGAATGAAAGCTCTGATGGACTTTGACTAACAGGAAGTGGACAAAAA